ACCTTTCCTTTGTACTACCATTAATCAGGAAAATATAAATTAAAATCATTACATTAATAATAGCAATTCTACATATGACATACCTAGCAATGAACTTAATAAGATATATGTAGAAACTATTTAAATTTTATGAAGAAATCCATATGCTCTACTGAGAGAAATTTAAAAAAAAAACTTGCATTAATGAAGAGACATAACATGTTCTTCAAACTACTCTATAAATTTAATGCAATCCCAATTACAATCTCTACATAATTTTTTTTCTTTGAGGAAGATTAGCCCTGAGCTAACTGCTGCCAATCCTCCTCTTTTTGCTGAGGAAGACTGGCCCTGAGCTAACATCCATGCCCATCTTCCTCTACTTTATATGTGGGATGCCTACCACAGCATAGCGTGCCAAGCGGTGCCATGTCCGCACCCGGGATCCAGGCTGGCGGACCCCGGGCCCCCGAGAAGCAGAGTGTGCGAACTTAACCGCTGCACCACTGGGCCGGCCCCTCTACACAATTTTTAAACTAAACTAAATGTCTCTAAATTTTGTCTCAAAAAATGATTATTAGATTTGCCTACCAAGAAAATCTTGGAAGAAATTATTAGTGAAGAGGGACTTGACCCACCTGATAGATATTACACCCTATTGAAAAGCTGCAACTATTAATACAATGGGACGCAACTGTCAGAAGAGATTGAGAACATTAATAGCATTTGGTGATTTGTAAGTACTTGCTACAAACTGTATATTCCTTTAACTCCTTTACATTCATTATCTCTTAATCCTCACAATTATTTCAGGTAGATAATGCTATTACTTCAATTTTTACAAAAGAAAAATCTAGCGTGGCTGACCATCCTGGTTTGCTCACGACTGTTCCAATTTTAGCACTTAAAATCCAGAATCCCTGGACACATCTCAATCCCCCGCAAACTGGGATGGTTATGCACCCTAGAATTGAACTGGGGAGCTTATGTAATTTACTCAGAATATCACAACAGGTCACTGGTGGAGCTGAAATTTCAATCCCCCTCAGATTCCAAAGCCCGTGTTTTGACATTGCATACACTCATATGATTAATGTGGCAATGTAAATGACCGCGGCAGAACATTGTGGAGCAACTGGCTAACCACGGACAAAACACTTAGACCAACACCTCACCCTTTACGCTAGAAAAAATTATCGACAAATAAATAATTTAAATTTAAACATAAATTGTGGATGAAAATATAAATGAATAGATGTGTAATCTTGGAGTAAAGATGGACATTCTAAACATGACACAAAAGCTAGAAACCGGAAATGAAAAGATGAATAAATATGTTTGCATTAAAAAACATATCTACAACTTAAAACATCACAACAAATTTTTCTTTAAAAAGGATAAATAGGGAAAATATTTGTAACACAGATGATAAATACTTAATGACCTAAATATATAAAAATCCTCAAAACTTATTGGGAAATATCTAAACTACACAATAGGAAACTGGGCAAAGGACATTAGTAAGCACTTCAGAAAAGAAGTACGAATGACTAAAAACATGAGTAAAATGTCATACCTCGAATGGTGACAAAATAATGCAAAATTTAAAAAAATGCTATTTTTCCTGAAGCAGATTAACAAAGATTAAAAAGAATTAATAATACCTAATGTTGATGATTGCATGTAGGCCTTCCATACATATGTGGTTGGTAGGAATGTAAAACAGTAAAACATGTGAAGGCATTTTGACAATATGAATCAAAAGCCTTAAAATGCATACCTTTTTTTTGGTGAGAGATTGTCACTGAGCTAACATCTGTGTCAATCTTCCTCTATTTTGTATGTGGGACACCACCACAACATGGCTTGATGAACGGTGTGTAGGCCCGGCATCCAAACCTGTGAAGCCCAGGCTGCTAAAGCAGAATGCGTGAAATTAACCACTATGCCAGGCTGAGAGAGGTTAACAGAAGGACCTAGACCCATATTTATTTATATGCAGGGCTTAACTTCCCCCAAGTAGACATATGTCAAAGATTCAACTACAGGGAATATTCAAATTTGTTTCAAGACATGTTTAATATGTGCTATAATCAGTCAAGCTCCTTATGATCTGTCTTAGAGATCAGAGCACACATGCCAGTCAAAAAATGTCTTTCCAAAATAACAGAGAATTCAGTCTCTACCCTGTAATTAACAGAGCTATCACCACCGAAGTCTGCCTGAATATCCAGACCGTGTGAGTTCTGCTCTGCCACAGCTCTCTCTGAACTACGCATTGACCACCTGCTCAGATTCTTCACCTTGTTTCTCTCTATATATTGATTTTTGATTACTTTCAAGGCATCTACTTCTAGTGTATTGAAAGATGGAATTGCTGATATTCAACCATTTTTGACCAACTAAAATGACAATTTCACATGTTCAACTTACTATTAAAAAAAACACAGTTCCTCCATGTCTGTATCCTGAACTACTTTGTTTGACCAGCCAAGACAAATGTCTGCCCTTCTGCTGCCCACATTGCAGGTGCTGTCAATGAACCATGAGCTGACAACGTTAATAGACTCCACTTACAACCCTCATGGCTCACCTACATATTTTCTTCTAAAGTCTGACATTTAAAATAACATGCTAGAATTTTACACTTTATTTTCATGATATCATTTATCTAGATGGCCGTCCTACAAGGAAGAGGATGGGAGGAGAGTATACTCAGCTGAATATTATTCAAGAAAGATCTATTTCTTTCAGTCACTTTTTTGGGGAGAACACTAATTAACTGTGTGAATTTCAAAGGTATTTGCCATGACCTCTGCCTCAATCTAGAAAATGAAGGGGCATTCATCAAATTTATTGTCCAAAATGTAGTATTTATAGACACTGCAGCATAGCTTAGCCACTACTGCTACAAACTTTGGAGTCTGACAAGCTCAAATGTTTGAACAAATTTGTGAGTCAGTGTCCTCATCTGCAAAAGAGGGGTAGGAATTAGACCTACCTCATAGGACTATTAGGATAATTAGATGAGCTAACACATGTAAAATGTACTCAGTACAGACAGATACATAATAAATGCTTAATTAAAAGTAGTTTTATGGCCTCTTAAAAATTTTCTTATGCTTTTAGCCTAATTCCCTAATCATGAGCTAGAACCAGGTCACCAGATTTGCAAAACAGTCTGCAATATGGGGTGAGAAAAAGCAGAGAAAATGCCTTACTGTAGATTCTCTATGAAGGAGCCCAGCGATTCCTCATTTGGCCGACACTTCTACTTGCCCTTCAGTTCCACTCATTACACAGCCAATTAAGGTAGGGAGTGAATGATAGGGTAGAGGAGAGTTCCCTCACCCCCAAATTGCATTCAGGGAACATAATTTTCTGTGTGCAGAGGAGAAACATTTAGCATTATTCTTAGTGGATTTTATATCACAGTTTATAAATAGAACTTTAAGATTGAAAAAAAATGCATCCCTCCCCCAGCAAGTTGGCCTTGAAAATACAGAGTGGATACAACTACAGTTGAAGCCACTTCTTTGGGCTTACCACAGATACCAGTAACTTATCCTGACCAGCTGAAAGGCAGGGGGCAGAAATTCGGGCTTTGGTTATCTTCAGCTAAGGCCAGACAGATGCTCAGCGGCCATCTAAAGCTACTGCTCAGCAGCCAAATAAGGGTACGCCCACATAGCAAACAGAGGACAAACTTGACAACTCTGCTTTCTACATGAGAATCCAAGATGTCAATCGCTAAGCCGGGTCAGCAAAACCCTCTGAACTCTGAGAAGTTTTTCCCTGAAAAGACTTCCAAGTATTTGTTCCGGAGTCCTAAGTGCAGGCATAGCTGGCAGCACCTGCAGCTGCCAAGGGCCCTTCATTCAAGGGATGCTAAAGGCCTAGTCTGACCACTTTGGGTACCAGAATGTTAACTGCAATTATCATTTTAGAAACTTTTTTCTTAATATCTGATCAACTTCTTCACAAAGACAGGAAAGATTATATTTCCCTGAGTCTACATCCTGTCAAGATTCTACTTTTCTTAACTAATTCTGAAATTGTCCCCTAACCCTGACAGCTGGTCAATATAGCCCAGAAGAAAATAATCCCATGCAGCAGGGATCAGATCCCAACTCTGCACTTACAAAGGATATGACATTGGGCGAGTTGTCTTGGTTTAAAAATCTGTAAAGTTGGGTCAGCCTGGTGGCGTAGTGGTTAAGTTTGTGCACTCTGCATTGGCAGCCCAGGGTTCACAGATTCAGATCCCAAGCATGGACCTACACACAGCTCATCAAGCCATGCTGTGGCAGCATCCCATACACAAAATAGAGGAAGATTGGCACAGATGTTAGCTCAGCAACAATCTTCCTCAAGCAAAAAGATGAGGATTGGCAAGAGATGTTACTTGGTGCTAAATCTTCCTCAGCAAAAAAAAAAAAAAAAAAATCTGTACAGTAAATATAATAACAATACCTACTACATAGAGTTGTGACAATAAATTATATATACTTATATATATAACTTATATACTTATATTATATTATATATATAACTTAATGAAGTGTCTGGCCCTATAACGCCACTTAATAAATATTGACTCTTTTTATTACCTTTAAATTATTTTTTACTTGATCCCATCCAGATCCCCTCTTCTATCAACCAGCTCTGCATCATTCCTTGTCCTTTACTGAATCCTACTGCAGTCCATGTTAATTACAGTCAGCAGAGAATTATATCTTTGCGCACAGTCGCTCAAAGATTAGAGTCTTCGTTAACTCTACCACTCTGGCCATTTACATTCCCATTAGCTAGTGAACAGATTCACATATTGCTGGAACTTTAGGCGATGATGTGGCTCCGCTCCAATCAGCACTCTGGAAAGAAGAAAGCCTGCTGCTGTCCAGAAAAATCTTGTCTCCCTTTCAACTCCTCAGGAAAGAGGAGTTTTATGGTCTGCCCTGTCTTTGGCTACATGCCACCTAAAAGCATTCATCCATTATCAAACTAAAAATGCCTTCATGGTGCTCACTTCAACAGCATGTATACTGTAATCGGAATGATTCAGAGAAGATTAACATGGCCTCTGTGCTAGAATGGCACGCCAATTCACAAAGCATTTCATAATTTTGAAACAGGCACTTTTATATATTGTGCTGAAAGTGAAACTGGTAGAACCTCCAGCATGGTGAATCCAGCAATATCTTCCAAAATTACAAATGTATTTACCCCTTGATCTAGCAATCCCAAGTCTAGAAATTTGTCCTTCAGCTAAACTTTCATGCATATGAAATTATGTATTTACAACATCTTTCATTGGGCTTTGTTTGTGATTGCAAAGGATTAGAAAAATATAAGAGTCTATCAAATGGAGACTGATTAAATAAACTCTGTTACATCCATACAATGGGTTATAATGCTGACAGAAAAAATGAGGACATTCTCTACGTATTGATATAGAAAAATATGCAAAATATACAATAAAAAGTACTGTTTTAAGGTATGCAACAGTGGTATATCTTAGGTTAACTTTTGTATATGAAAGGGAGCATGAGAATATACACTCACATTTGCTTGTATTTGCATAAATAAACAAAATAAACTAATAAAAATGATTACCTAGAGCAGGGATAGAAAATTATGGCCAGCAAACCGGCTGCCTAGTTTTATAAACAAAGTTTCATTGGAACACAGCCATACCATTTGTTTCTGCATTGTCTGTGGCTGCTTTTGCACCACAATGGCAGAATTGGGTAACTGCAACAGAGACCAATTGGCCTGCAAGCCTAAAATATTTATTACTTGGCCCTTTACAGAAAAAGTTTGCCAACGCCTCACCTCTGGGCTAGGGGACGTGGATAGGGACAGGGATGGAGACAAGACTTCTCAATGTATACCCTCTTTTGTATGGCTTTGGGTTTTGAACTTCTGAATGAATGTACTGCCTTTTTATAAAAATAAAATAAAAAACAAAATCAACGAAATCTTGTTTGAATCTTCCGGGTAGAAAACAGACAGCAGTAAACCTAGAGCAAGGATTGGTGTTTGTGCTTGGAGTAACCCTATTTATTTCTGAACATATATGTGTGAAATTAAAAATAATCAACTTATAAAATTCATTTTAAAGGAAAAAATTGCATTATGGTTCCTTCCTGTGTTGCACTCTCAAAAATCCCCCACATAGAGAGTCGCCTGAAGTCTTGTTCCTCTTTGCCTACTTCATACATGTGTATGAAGCCTACTAAGTGCCAGGCACTGTGCTAGGCAGATAGTGAGAATTATAATTGTTGTATTATGATTAGATGATTTCAATCTAAAATATATTGAGTTTCATTATGTGTCACATATAGTTTTTGGTGCTTTATATACATTCACTTTAATCCTCACAACATCCCAAACTTATAACTTCAGCCCAGTCTTCTTTCCTGAACTCCAGACTCATATAACTGACTGTCTACTCAACTTTTCTACTTGAATATCTAATAAACATCTCAAACTCAATTCCTCCCAAAACTAAGCTCTTGATCTTTCTCCACACACATACACCTGCTCCATCCACAGCTTCCCCCATCTCACTGGATAGCAATTTCATCCTTCTAGTTGCTCAGGCAAAAATACTCAGAATCTTCCTTAATTGTCTCTTCTTCTCACATGGCATATCTTATCCTCCACTTGTAAAATTACCTAGAATCTGACAACTTCTCACCGTCTCCACTACCACCACCCTGTTCTGAGGTTCTGAGCCACTGTCATCCTTCCCTAGATCACCATAACAGCCTCCTCGCTTATTTCCTTGTTTCTCCTCTTGCCCCCTTATAATCTATTTCCAACATAGCAGCCAGAATTATCCCTTTAAATGTAAAGTTGGCCATGTCACTCCTCTTCACAGTAACCCACAGTGGGTCCCTTTCTCACTCCAAGTAAAGACCATTGTCCAACTCTTTATTCATCTGAGGCCTACCCTGACCGTTGTAGGGAAGCAAAATTTGCCACCCCAAAATATGTCTCTTTGGCATGAGGATTATTTTAGGCTGATTATTTTTAAGAAACAGAAGACTCAGGAAGGTTTTCTTTTTACCTCCCTCTTAACTGCCTAAAATAATTTAGATAGAGGGTCTATTCCAGGAAGGAGAGCTATCACCAAAGATAATTGCAAAGAATATGAGATAGGTGTGGTAAACTGAGGGGAAGGCAAGGCCTGTTTTTTCACATTCCTTTCTTTGTCCCTTTGTCTCTGCATGGCATAGCAAACATTTCTTTACCACGTGTTTCCTCTTCTCATTTCCCTGTGAAATATCTTCCTCACCTTTGAAGTCCCAGACCCCTACTCCTTCTCCTTAGCTCAGGAGAGGCATATAAACCTCAATTGCCTGACTACCTTTCAGCCTCACATTCTTATGGAGCCTCTATACCTATGAAATTAAATTTGATTTTCTCCTGTTAATCAGTCTCATGTCAATTTAATTCTTAGACCAACCAGAAGAACCTAGAAGGGTGGAGAAAAAATTTTCCTCCCCAACACTATTTTATTTTTAAAAAAAGGTCTGTCCTCCCAACTCCTACCCCAGCACTATCCATCCGCTTACACTATTCTACAGTTTTTTCTATACTATTTCCTTATGTCTTTTTGCTTATTATTCATCCATGTGGTAAAAAGTAGATTCAAATATTTGTTGAATTGATGAACAACTTCTTGGGATGTAGGTATTATTTCTTCCCCAATTGTACAGAAGAGGAAACAAAGGTTCAGCCAGGTTAACTGATTTTCACCAGGGTCAGAAAATTAATCAGGCACGGGGCAGGGAATTGAACCCAGATACCTCTGACTCTAAAGCTCATGGTCTTAACCACTCAACAACCTCATGCAATTTACAGTATAGTGCAGGCCAGGCTAACCTGTGTGTCTATCACTCAGACACAAAGGTAGTTGCAAAGCAGGATCAGCGGTTGTCATGGAACTTGAACATAGCTCTCCAGAGAATAAAGCAAGCAAGTTGAAAAAGCACATGGGTGATGAAATGGTGCCATTCAGGTTGACAGTTTCTGATATAGCTTTACCTGGATAATGGGTGAAAGGCATACTTGAAGGGTTTTACCATCAACCTACATTTTCTTCTTCACTTACTCTGCACAATTGTGTTAATGATACTTAGGCCAAGTCAAATAAAACATTTCCAACTGCCTGAGTTAGAGTCATTTCATGAGTAAATATCCATTAAAGTTTCATGCCAAGGTATGGTGGGAGTGTTTAGGCAGGGTCCTTTGGGCAAAAGAGCCCCAGGAAATGGAAACCTTTGTTAAAATGTGAATTGAGACTAATCCTTCAGCACCTCCCTTCAAGTGGGCTCCAACTTCTAATGCAGCCTAAGGGGCGCAGAGTACACTGAAAGAATTCACAGTTTCCACAGAATTACCGTGACCTAGTAATTCTGCTCTCTTACAAATGCCTACTAAATGTTTTGTTTTGCTTAGTAAAAGCATTTAGAGGATGGTGGCACTCAGAATATGCTTATAGCGCAGTTCCTCCTGAGATAAGGCGCTGGTGGGCTCTAGGCAAATTTGCCCTTCATAGTTCCATGTAATTCGCCATTGTCTGCTCAACACTCAGTGGGAGCAAACTAGGCCAGAGCCTTCTAAACTGGGTCCTAGCACCCCTATAGAGCTTAGTAAATTAATCATGATAGTTTACAGGTGAACTTAAGACTACAGATGATTTTATAAAAGTACTGATTTTTTAAAAAATAACATTGTGTGATTGGTGGTTCTATATCCATTTTTTTCCCTCACCTTAATATTATAGTCTTTTCTTTTCCCTGTAGTGCAAGCACTAGAATATAGTGGCATAGAAAACTGATCCTAGAGCCGGAATGCCCAGAGTCAAATCCCGACTCTGCCATTTACTGTAAGTTCTTGGGCTTATTAATCATTAGTTAACCTCATTAACCTGTTCACTCATTGGTAAAATGGGCTATTTTGAGGATTCAATGGGATTATGTAGCCAAAATGTTTAGTAGAATACTGACATATAGTGCTCTTATTTTCATATGCTCCCAAGTAGGAGACTCTGTGACGGAGGTGGTGCAGTGCAGTGAGAGGAAATGTAGACTTGGCGTCAGCAGGCCTGGTTCTAGAATCCCAGCTTTGCCACGGACCACTGTGAAACTTCAAGTTAAGCAACTTAATTTCACCCCACAAGTTTCTTTTATTATAAAGTGAGAGGACTGAACTAAGTTATCTCTAAAGTCTCTTCCAATTCTAACACTGAATAATGTTCTATAATATTCTATAATAAAGACCAATCCAGAAAAAAGTTATAATGCAATAGTTTTCAATTCTAGACCTAAAATATATTTTTACTTCATAAAGAATACTGTGAAACGAAAAGAGAAATTTTATTATAACGCACATAAGATCTATTCCTAATTTTAGCCCCTTAATATTTGCCTTCTTATTGCAGATTATACCCTCCCCTTGAAATGGTTCATTGGTTACAAACCAACATGGATTTTGTTTCATCACAATTTGCTTCATAAAAAGAGATGCACTACCAAACTTTACAACTCATTGTTCAACACATTTTTCTCTACAATATAAAGGTTATTTCACACACAAAAGAAGTACAGATCTCTGGGGGCTGGCCCAGTGATGTAGTGGTTAAGTTCGATGCTCCACTTCAGTGGCCCAGGGATGGTAGGTTCAGATCCCACTCGTCAAGCCACACTGTGGTGGCATCCCACATAAAATAGTGGAAGATTGGCACAGATGTTAGCTCAGCAACAATCTTCCTCAAGCAAAGAGAGGAAGACTGTCAACAGATGTTAGCTCAGGGCCAATCTTCCTCACAAAAAGAAGTGCAAATCTCTGAATTCGAAAACAAATGAGTGATGTCTTATGCTGTCTCACGGTGATAAAGAATTTACCATATATTGAGAGCTTGGGAAGAAACCGAAGTTGGGTTGAAGCATTGCTCATTTCACTTAGTGAAAGTGATCCAACTAGAGACAAAAATGGGGAGAAGAATATCCTTCTGTGAAGATCTAAATGCCCAAACTCTTCAGAACTAGTCAGCTTTAAGAATGAAAAGCTCTGTATTAGTTGGCTTTGCTGTGGCCACAAATGATCCAAGAATCT